GACAACAAAGTTTCGGCATAGTCTACAAGAAAGCTGGAACCAGGTGAACTTCTAGATCTTCATGGTCGAGAGAATTAGTTTCAGTCTTTGCAAAGAATGAAGTTAATTTGCTGTATACTTGTCACCAGCACTGGGATTTAACTATTTAATTTCAAAGGGGGGTAATGCAGTTACTTTTTGAAAAATGGCCATCTTTGAAAACAAGGAGCATTAAATATATTTGAGATAGAAGGGTAAGTAATTTCTTATGTATAGTTAGCTATAAAGCAGTACTTCGATGGAATTTAAGTATTTTTTCATCACTGAAAGGATTTTTCTTATTACTAAACTGTATTTAATAATTGCCGCAAGTTACAAGGACAATTGTATGCAGAAGGCCGTCGATACTGTGAGTGTTTTGATCCACTGAAGGTTGTTTTTTGGAAATCCTGTAATATCCCTTTTGAGATAGTTGTACTTTGTCAACTAGGGTGCTGGACAGTAGAAAACTTGCTTTGTCACACAAATATGTACACACAGTAAATATTGTTTCTTAGGCAAAGGAAACTTTTTATATAGTTGTAAAATTCCATTATATCCCATTGCCAAAGAAACATTACAAACTTTGTATAGCTGTATAAAAAGCAACTAATTTTTTAAAGAATAAACATTTTTAAGTCAGCAAACATACTATGTTATTGCAAAAGTTGATATGCTAAAGAACACTGAGTTAGTTTGTTTTCTTAGTAGCTTTTCAGGCTTTAAATTTGTTTGATTTTTACATTTGGATTATAATGAAGATTTGAAAATGTTCTTCCATTATACAAAACTGGATACTCTTCTTTCTTGCAAGAACTTCATTTTGTAATGTCTGGCATATCACAGGATTTGACCAAATTAAGATTTTTCAAATAAGAACAAAAATAAAACATTTTGTGTTATGTCAGAACTTGCAATTAATTTTACTTAGTGGTAAATATTCACTTTTTAAAAAATGGACCAGGCATATGAGTTAATATGCTCCTTCTAAAATGCTTGGGATGAAAATATGCCTCCATGTGTCAATTCTTGAAATGTTAACTTTGTTGTAATACCAGTAGACATAATCAATTTAAAGAGAATTCTTAGTGTTTGAAGTTGTTTGCATTTTGATAGACTCTAGCTTGGAGACATTAAAAATTCTGGTTGTTAGACCAGTAAACCCACAAATGACTTGGTATGGATTTTTTTGTCAATTCTAAATGACTAGTTACAACTTTTTGATATGTTTAAGTTATAATTGAAAAAGGAATCTGGTAATTTGCATTTGTATATGTATATGAAGGCCACAGGAATAAAGGGATCCAAAGATTAAAATTTTTTGATCTGATTTGCTCATTTTTGTTAACTTTATCCTCAAAATGTTCAGTGGTGATAAAGATGTGGAAAACTGCACTGTTGGAAAATTGGAATATTTAAAAGTGGTTGATAGAATCTTATCTTAATTTTATATCTTTTTGTATAGCACTACAAGGAAGTATTTTGTAATTGGTTTCCTTATTAAGGTCCAGTATTGGCAGCCGTAGAAGTTAGATAATATTGTTTAGTAATGTTTTTTGCATGTTATCAACAATGCCTTTTTGGGAACCACAAATCATGATCCTGAACAACTTCTGAGGTTTTTGAACATAAAGGCAAGTGCTGTTCTGTTGCAATAACCATGTATACTGTATGAGGTGTCCCAGGCTTATTTAAACAAGAGAAATTGTAAATATTACCAATGATTCATGCTGTGAAGGTCTTTGTTGATGCATCTTCCCCCACTCGTTTGGGTTACTAATTGGGGTGTTTTGTACCCCAGTAACTAGCAGCATGGCATACCTTCAGTGTACTTTGCTACATGAAAGTAAGGTTTTTATTTTAAGCCAGAATAAACAGTTCAATAAAATCAGTCTTTCTGAAAATTCTTTCTAGTTCTACTAAGACTGGAGTAGGAGGAACAGATTATTAATCTGTTTTCCCAAGCAGATGTAAGAAGAACTGCGCTCTTCCCCCTTCATAATGCAAGCAGGGTAGCAGCAACTACCTCAGGCTCCTCTGTTCCTTCTAATCCTGTTTTCTGCTTTCTTCCTTTTCAAGCAAAGGGACAATGTAGACAAACAAAGGCAATACTAAGGAGAGGGAAAAACAAAATAAGAAAAAAGTCTTGTTTTTACAGTTCTTTTAAGCAAGCTACAGGAAGAACGTGTGTGAAAGAAGGGACGCTTACTCTCCTGTGGTTGCTTCCACTTGGGGGCCCAGCAGTCAGTACCAGCTAGAGATTCAGTGCTGCTCCAGACCAGCATCTATTAACCTACTCCCTGTTCAGGCTGCCCACGTGGATAGTCATTCTCTGCATCAGTGGCTCCATCTTTTAAGATAAACTCTGCTGCTCTGGGCCTTCCCTTCTTTTTCTTTCCAAAGCAAGTCAGGGCCTCCTGGGCCCCTCAGGTTATCTGTATAATCCCATTAGCATCAAGTTAATAAATTGAACACAGTGGTATTGCACAGATATAGAGAATAATTCAAGCTATAGAATTTTTATATGGGTGCTGTATGAAAGAAACAGCCTGAATGTCAGAACCAAGGTGACTTTGTGTGTGTGTGTGAGAGAGAGAGAGAGAGAGAATCTTGCTAGGAGCACCACACGGCAGAATATTATTGACTTTTCAGGGTAGGGCTATATTTTTCTACCATGCTACTCCTTATAAATGATGAGCTCCCCAGAATCAAATTTCTAAAGTCCCTAACTTGTCAGTTCATGTCCTTCTTAAAGACTTGTTGTGATGCCTGCAGACTACTGCCAATTGATAAGAATTAGGCAGGTGGTGAGTTGGTGCACAGCTTTCTGAAAATGTAGCAACAATACAGGCACCCTAACTGTGTTTCACTGACCTGGTGCATCTCTTCCTCAAGCTAAATTGCTGACATTTTCTGTGGTGTCTAGAATAATGAGACTGCTAGCTGCTACTGTCACTCTCTCTCCACTTTCCCTTATCTGGAATAAGCAGAACTTGGTGATCACCTTGTCATGCTGCAAAAGCTTTTTATTTGACTGGCTGTGGGAGGATGAAGGTGTTTCCAGATGGGTGTCAAATGAAAAGAAGCTCTTCCCTTGCTTCTGATTTGCTCAGTGGGTGAGTTAGTTTGATGGTTAAATGCTGCTGGTGGGCTGAGTTATATATATTTTAATATTGCTGTGCGGTCATGTGAGATTAAAAAGACCTGGATGTCAAGGCACATTCTGGACTCCCAGAACTCATTAGATCTAGATACCAAAATACCCTGCAATTTGCTGCCTAAGAAGGGCTTGCCTTACAGCCATCCTTTCCCTCTTCTCATCCTGTGGAGTCTACTACTCCCCGTATGAGAGTGTTTCCATACTCTACAAGACACAATTCAGTTGATGATTTCTCCTTCTAGTGGTTCTTAACCATTACAGATGCTTTGGAATTCAGTTGTGGATGCTAGATATCTTTTATGTAGCTAACTTGCTGACCTGATCTTTGTGCGATGACAGCCTGAAATTACGCAACACAACTTCACTGAATAATGTACCAGCTGATCTGTGTTTTTTTTTCTAAACACAATGTAGAAAGTCTAAAAATGCACAAATGAAATTTCACTAATTCATACTACTCCTGGGCACTGGAATAATGTGGCCAAACTATTGGGGGGATGGGGGGGGAACTGATTTAATACCCCTTTAGTCTAAATTTTGGAGAGTAGTATGAATTAGACTTTAACATTTCTAGCCAGAAGTTTGAAAAGAGAAAGGGGTTACAGCTGCTGCAGCAAATAACAGTTAAGAGTTCACACCTTACTGCAATGCAGTTGTCTTATGCTGGAAGCTGTATTAGTTTTAGACTTGTGCAGGTCCTCCATTCTGAGTGGAAGATGTAAGTATTCATAAAAATTCATTTTTCCACTTGAAAATTGAATCTGCATTTCTAAAGAACAGAAACGTGAGGGAGGGTAGTGCTATATGTGTTAATTCCACTTGTACTGCTGCTCAATCCTAACTGAGTTAGTTTTGAGCCTTATCACTAATGATGGATTGGGTTTGAGCTTATCAGGCTGAGAGTCAGAGCAAAGGGATGAGGATTCAAAACAACTCTTGCTTGTTTTTACCTTCTAACTCCAAGTTTTTTCTGTTACAGTTTTTTGCCCTTTACAGTAAAGCAAGTGATTTGAACCTAACTCCTTAAGACAGCTGAGATTACCTATGTTAAATAGAGAGTCTGCTGGAAATTTAAGGGAGAAGAACTTCCTTTAAGTAAGGGACTTTCTAGCAGAAAAAGGAGTGATTAAATACTGCCCAACTGTGAGTATGGTGATTATCAGGCTTACTTATCATAGGTATTGGGCTCTGTGTCTCTGCACTGCAGTGACTGGCACACCACCAACCCTAAGCTCCCCTGGACCTAGTCAGTCCTGGCTTTCTATCTGCATTGGCACAGGTGAGCAGGGGCCTACTTGCCGTGAAGTGTGGAAACAGCTACGGGCTACATCGGCAAAGGCATTTAGCTACTTACGGCCTGGCACCTGAGGATCTACATTTTGAATTTAGGCACCTAAACTCCCCGGTCTCCAACCCCCCTCACCCAGCGCGGCCAGAAGCTCCTCCCCCTCCTGCCGAGGGAGCACAGATGCGTTGTGAACCCAGCTCTCCCCGCCCAGCTATGTTCCCCAACCGCGTAGCTATGGCGGCAATCGCGGGCTCTTGCGGGTACTTCGTACGGAGCCGGGGGGCTTTGCCAGGCGCGGCTGCGGGAGCGCCCCCCTGGAGCTAGGCGCAAAGCGGGGCCCAGGGGCCTCTACCACTTAGCACCCCACCATTGCTACCCCCGCGCAGTGGCGGGGCCGGGCTGTAGCCTACGCAGAGGGGGGGCCGGGAGAAACCCGGCTGGGGTGGATCCTCTCCCCGGAGGGGAGGGGGCAATACCAGCTGTTTACCGCGTGGATCCCCCCGCCCCCGTTTGGGGCTGCAGGTTGGTAGCGACCTGGGCGGAGCCAATCAGAAGCCGCCGGGGGAAGGACTGGGGCTGGCCGGGCCTGATTCCCAGCTGCCCTTGCGCGGGGAGAAAGCCCAGACCGGTAACTGCCGGCGGTTTGGCAGTGACTCTAGAGACCCGGCAGTCGGTGAGCCGGTCTGTACCACCCCAGCTCGGGGCGGGGGGGCTCCTGGGTCCTGTCCCCTGTTCCCAGCGGGAGTCAGCCGCACTCCCGCGAGTCCCCGGCATGCGCCCCCCCACCCCGTTGTGTGGCTCTAGCACGTAGCGCCCCATCCCCCGCAGTAGCGGTGGCCGCGCTGCAGCCCGTGGGGCGGGATGAATCTGGGAGAGGCCCGGTGCGGATGGAATCAATCGCCGGGAGGGGGAGAGGAGGCAATAGTTTTTATTTACAACGTTGCTTTCCTCACCCTCACCCCCACCCCCCTTGGGGCTGCAGGTAGTGGTAGCGACCTGTGGGCGGAGCTAAGCGGAGCCTTCCGCGGGGAGAAAGGCCGGACCGTAGCGGCGGGTTCCGGGCCATGTCGGTGGTTTTCGTGCCGGAGCGGCTGCGCGGGAAAGCGGAGGTGAATCCAGAGACCCTGCAGCGGGTGAGTCTGCCCGGCCCCGCCACAGCCCCTCGAGTCCCCGGGTCCCCCCTTGACTCCCCTGTGTGCGGGGGGTCCGTAGTACAGCCGGAGCGTGGGGGACGCTCCCTTCCCCGTTCCCGGCTTCTCCTGGAGCCCGCGTCTCCCTCCGCGCAGCCCAGCCCGGCCCGGCCCGGCCCGGCTCCCTTCGAATTACCGCAATTCGTGGGCGGGCGGTTCACCCACGCCTGTCCCATGGGTCGCACCGCGAAGCTGCACACGGCTCACCCCCCACGCACCCTACAGTACCCGAGACACTTGCCAGCCGTCCCGCCGAATACAGGCCTCCCGCCCTGTCCCTTGAGCCAGTATCTGTTCAGCGCCGAGCACCTGGCAGCCTTGAGCCTTCTTGCAGCTTGTTCGGGCGGGCGGGGTCTCGACTCATTTTTTTAGTGGCCCCTGAGTGTGGCCACCAGCTCTTAATGGTGACCACTTTGATAAATTGTCTGAAACCACTTAACTTTAGGGAAAACACAGAAATATGCACAGATCCATGGCCAAATCCTTGGGATTTGTTTGTCGGGTTTTTTTTGTAGACTCAACAAAAATATACAAATGGTGCTAAAAAACTTTGTATAGGGGAGATGCTGCAAAGTCCTTTGTACCTTGTTCCCTTTGCCCCTGTTCACACCTGCCTCCTAGAGCTGGGGCTGGGAGCAGGCCATGGCTCTGGGATGGGGGCGGGGGCCACAGCTGGGGGCAGGCTGTCAGACAGGGCCCCTGCCTGCGGGGCCAAGAGCTAGGACCCTGGACTCTGCATAAAACCTGAGAGTGCTGCAGCACCCTCCATGCCCTTAGTTCCTGCGCCTATGGAAAGTACAGTTGTATTTTGGTGCCCTTGGCCCCTGCTGCCTCCCCTGGATCCCACTGCCTCTCCCCAAGATCCTGTTGCTTCTCTTCTCCCCACCCCCCCATTCCATTGCCCTGAGCACACCCAAGGCTCACACCACTTCCTGTCTCCTAACCATGGTGCCTGGTAAGGCCAGCCCTGCTGGCCAGAGCCAGAACCCCATGGCTGGATCTGGGGTGGGGAGGAGGGGCAAAGCCCAGAGCCACACCACCCTGGGGGGCTGGAGTCATGCAGCTGAAGCTGGTGGGGAGACTGAAGCCTGCAGCTGAAGGTGGGGAGGGTGAAGCCCACTCCTGGAACCTCTGGCTGAATCAGGAGAAGGGGGCTGAAGCCTGCCCCCTAGGTGCTGCAGGAAGGGGTGCTGCTTTGCCCCTCTCTCCCATTTGTGCCAAGGAGACTGTCATGGCCATAGGGAAAACTCCTGGTGGTTGCATTTGAGAAATGCTGTTCTAGGCCTTACTCTACTACAAATAAAACACAGCCTGCATACCTAAACATGAGAAAGGTGCAGGAAAATATTTTCAGCCCAATTATCATAAAACAGGCAGAACCAACTAACAGAAGGGATTTTTTGCAGTTGCTATAAACAACTTCTAACAAGATTTCAAGCACCTGTAGCAGAAGCAAAGCCCTAACTTGTGTTTGTTTTAGTTACTAGAGGAAAACGATCAGCTGATTCGCTGCATTGTAGAATATCAAAATAAAGGAAGAGCTACAGAATGTGTGCAGTAAGTAAACTTATTCCAAAATGCAGTCACTGTGGTGCACGTATAGAAAAGGTACTAGTTTAGATGCCCAACACACTGAAATTTGTCAGAAAATGTTTTATAGAAAGTTTGTCTTAAAATAAGCCTTGTTCAGTTACCACATCAAGATACTGCATCATCAGCTGAAAAATAAGCCATGTAAGTCTCATCTTTAGGATGAAAGTGAGTTGGAGAGGGTAGATGGGGAGTTGGGTGTAGGAGAAAGAAAATAAGATATGAGGAGGGAAAGGGCTTAATTATTTCCCAAGAGTGAGTTTTTCCATTTTGGGTGTTTAGTAGATGACCTAAGATGGCATTTATTAATTGTAAATATGCATGATGACTACAATTCTGTCTAGGCACAGCCTGCCCTGATATCTCTATTGTAGGGTATACAACTATCAAGTCTTGTTCCCTTTTGAATTTTCCAAATTTTTTTTTCTCTCATAGGTACCAGCATATCTTGCACAGAAATCTTATTTATTTGGCTACTATTGCTGATGCAACTCCAGCCAGTGTACAGAAGACTGAGTGATCCCACAAACTTGGACACCCATCAATGGTGCCTATATAAAGCATGGAGACATGATTGAATTGGGGGAGCTCTGAGGGATACAACATTCCTTCATTTTGTCTGATTGGCTAAGAGCAAGCTTTGATAGGGATCAGCTGGGACTCCGGGGGCCAAGACTGATGGGCATTAGGGAGTAGATTCTTATAGGAATAGAGTTGCTGTGGCCTTGCAACTGAGTAGTGATGAGCTGATAAATATGTGTAAGATCCTTGTACCAGTCTTCCCCTTCTGTGGTGTGTGGGTGTTTATTTTTTTTGTTTGTTTGTTTGTTTTTGGAGAAAATTACACCTTTATTCAAAAGTGCTACTGCCTAAGTCTTTCACGCTTTCTTGAGTGGTAAGTGACAATGGGGAGTAGGAAATCAAGCAACCTGAATTTCTTTATGTATTCTTTTGGAAAATGAGTGTATCAGAGGGCAGGTTGAGCTTTGGAGAAAGGCTCAAGTTTTAACCCACTTACCCAGGAGAAATAGGGAGATAACTGGAGGTAGTCTGGGACTTGCTGCCTTCATTATTGTATTGCAGTAAGAGCCAGAAACTCCAAGCAAAGTTAGGGCCTCATTATGCTGCCTGCTGTGTAAAGCTATATGCCCTGAAGAGCTTACAGTCTTTGTCTACTCCAGTACCATTTATTGGACCATGAGGTTAAGCAGGATTATTACTACTCCCCTGACTAGGCTCAGAGTAGGGACAGGCTTCTCCAGTTTTCAATTCCCCACATCATCTAAAGTTACCCCAGAGAATGATATAGGCAGCATGGCTGTTTGGTCTGGGAGGACTGTAGCTTAAGTCTCCCTTAGTGTCCTATCCCTCTTCCACTCACTTGTCACAGGTTTATAGGGCATACTGTAGTTCTTGAGAATGCGTCTAGTTGCAATACTCACTTTAGAGAATTGTTGTCAGGGGCCTGAAAGACAAGCAAACTGTTTAAGTTTGCCATTCCTCCCTCCTCCTGGTTAAACCAAGTGTGTCTACAACTCATTTCCTATTTGTCTAAATTTGTGAATTTACAGATTGCACAGTAAAACTGGTATAATTGTACTTGACTTGCTTTGCCAATAGATGGTCACTGCAGAAATCAGACATTTATTCCTCCCCAGTGCATCCCCTCTTTCCCTTGGAGAATGTCTTCATGGGCCAGGGGTCCTGGAACGGGATTCAGACTTGGATTTCAGTTGACTCTACTTAACAGTTTAATCTACAAGACTAAGCATAATGCTGTTTGCTACATCATAGGTTAAGTATGCACCTGTTTCAATAATTTTATTTATGATTTTAAATTAAAATATTTTCACTATTGTAAAAATCTTATTTTTGCAAGACTCCAAGATGGCAAAAATGCAGGGTCAGGAATTTGTCAGATGCAATTCAGGGCCTGATCTGGCTGCACATCTGATTACAATATGATACTATGCAGAGTGAACTAAAGCTCTTCCCAGTAAGCATAAGCACTTTTGGAATTAGTATGAAACACTACTTATGCAATGAGTGAGTTAGAGTAAACCTACTTTACTACTTATAGACAATGTAAATGGGATTTCAAAGTATGGAACTGGCTGGAGTAGTTGGTTCCCTCCCAAACATGAAAGTTTAATCAAATATTCTGAGCTTAGGCTTCTAATTTTCTAACAAAAGGAACAGCTGACTTTTGTCTTAAACAGATTAATTAAGGAAATAAGTAATTTACACTTTTCAGAAATAGTATTTATGGAGAACACTAATCAAATGAGTTTTATATCTGCATTTAAATATTTTATAAGGGAATACTCATTGTTTCAGTAATGTCACATTAAAGTATTACTTTAACTTGCTTGAAAATGTGTTAGATATTTTATAATAAAATCTGGTAACAAGCATCTCTGAATTCATTTCTTTTAGCAGCTTTTCTCCTTAGAATGAGTTGTCATGTACACTTATTTCATTGTTGGCAAAAAGATGCAGGTAACAGGCTTTTACATTTACACATTTCAGATTTTTGTATTCCAGTCACACAGTTAGTGTAACTTAAATGAAATGGCACCATACCATACTTTTGTCCAAAAGCAAAGGTAATTAGTCATTCATAGATTTGTGAACAGTACATAAGGAAAGTGACTTAGCCTGTATAACAGTTGCTAGAGTGCAAAATGTTCACCACCAGAAGCTGAATTATGGGTATGAGTTGTCGAGAAGCAATAGTGTATATTACCAACTGCCAATGAAGGAGCATTAATAGTGGTGCTATACACTCCATCCTAATGGTAAAGTGGCCCTAAAATAAGAATTATGGGGAAATTTGATATCAGATTCTACTGTGCAGACAACTCATTTAAAAAGTCATTAAGTAGACAATGTTTTCTATTCATATTCCTTAATATCTTTTCATTTACAAATTTGTTACATCTTAAGACGCTGTTCATTTTCAGTCGGAGCATATTTCAAACAGGTATGATCTATTATTAAATGTATATCTTTAATAAAGCAAATGGGTTTTACTTTCAGGCGCTTTAAAAGTAAAATACAAAATGTTCAGTTCCAGTTCAGAAGCATTAGCTATTCACAAGAAGCACTGCAATAAGGGTAAGTTAACTAAGCACCAAACCCTTGCACTTGGCAGTGTAAATGATAAACAGATTTTATGGCAAGACTTGTTTGCCAAGTGCAACAATGTTAAAAATTACCAGTGTTCAGAACAATAGGCAGCACAGGACATAGCACCTACATGGTCAAAATGCAGACACAGAAATGGTTTCAATTTTGTTTCCACAATTCACTTGGATTAAGTTTAGAAACTTTCAGTATTTGTAATTAACAGTACATTACAAAAACTGCAGCAACAGTTTTGGCCCTGGTTAGGAAAAGTTCAAAGTTATAAATAAACCTAATTTGCATTTTGGTTTTAGTATGAATAATCATGGGACATAAATGCAACCAAATTTAGGATCAAATATTGTCAAGCTTTAGGAAACTTCAAACCATTTGTCAAGCTAAAGAACGACTCATACTTTCAGCAGAGGGTTTTCAAAAGTAAAATAGTACAGAACGTTAACAATTTACAGACAAAAGCCACGCTGATTGTGCAAAGCACATTACTGTAAAAAGTCTATGTACAGCAAACAATTCTCTGTAAACATGGTAAGTATGAATTTTCAGAAAACATGGTGACAGTATATCAAATACAGGCAACATTGGCATCCTTAAACAGCACAAAAGGTAACATTCTGGGCCTGCAACTACAGCCCATCACCATACAAACAAAAGGAGTGAATGGGTTTTAAACACCCAAATGTTTAATAGTATTAGTGTTGTATATTTTTTTATATATAATTTATTTATTTTTATTTTTTGGTATCTTTAGATATAATGTACTTAGTTTGTAGAAAAATGGGAACATAAACATACTTTTATCTTCACAGAAAAATTTGTATATGTAGTTAGAACTAAAACCCCCACTTTACTAGTAGTTAACATATTAGAATGGTATAATGATTTAAGAAAATATAAAAATAAGATTAATACTGTCAACTTTATACCAGAAAATATTATGATTTAATTACTCTTTTAAAGATGAAATATGAAAATTTTAAATAAGCTTTAACTATATAAAGAATCTTCTGTAACATCAATATACAATGGGATAACTATACATATATATTTACCCTTTTTTTTCTTCAATTTAAGCACCGGTCACACACTGCTGGATCCACTTTGGTTGGAAGGTTATTCCAAATTCCACAGGTTAAACTTTGTAATGGCACATAATATTCTTTTAAGTATCTGCTACCCACATTTTAATTCTAGTTTCTCTTCTGAGCCAGCTCACAATTTTTACTCTAACTGTAGCATCTGAAATAAGACTTTAAATATATGCAAGTAGCCTTAGCTATAGTTTCACACATTTAAGGAGCACTGTGGGGGTAATGCCTTTGGCCAAATGTAGAAGTATCAAATTGTGTAGCTGCAAATCAGCATAGTCATATCCACACAGATACCATCTACCTTTGGCAGCCAAGAAAACATTTGAAACACGAGTTTGAGTGATTCCAGCTGCTCTATATTTACATTAATGAAATGACTGCAACACTGCTGTAACAAACCCACTTGTATGGCATGTTAAAAGCTGCTGCCCCACTTCACTAAAAAAGTTGTCACAGGCGGTTTACTTAGAATACAAAGACTACAACTTGTCCATTATAAATCTAAACAAGAACAGTGTTGAGCAAAAGCAACCACTATATTTGCTTAAAAAGTCAATGCATTTTAGCAGATGTTTATAAATCTATATGAAAATAGCTATAAAATACAGTGTCTTGCATGGTAGTCTTAGCAATTTTTTTTAAAAAAGGGGGTTTGAAAAGTAACAGCAATATACACATTTTAAAAGTGTTTTGCATCACAGTTTTGGGCTGTTTCATGTACATTTAACAAATATAGTGGCTCTTTGCTCAGCACTGTAAAAATTTAAAACCTATGTACATGACCATAAAGTTTTCACTCCACATATAATAAAATAACCAGAACACTGCCAATACACAAAGAGGAAACAAAGATAATATACATAATTTATAAGACTGTTTGGCCCTATGCTGCATCTTTCCAATATCAAAAAGCAGTTAGTATTGATGCAGGTACGATGGTCTGCGTTCGTGCTTTACTGGAAAAGATTTAAAGCCCTTATTCAGCTGCTTGTGCTGGGAAGTCTGCTGCTGTGGTGAGTGTTGCTGCTGAGCATAGGCAAAATTGGAGGAAATCCCTGTAGATGGAGCACAGTCATTGGCTGTAGACCAAACGGGTGACTGTAAAATCTGCATTGTGTCATTCCACTGACTGACTGGATTACTCATCTGATACAAAGATGTACTCTGATTGGGCAGTGTGTTTGTAATGGATGAAGAATGCTGCCAAGGGGCCTTAGGAGGCCAGGTTTTGGTTTTATTATCCTGTGAAGACAGAATTATCAGCTTTGATTTTGCAAATCAAAATTTCCTTTTGGAACTGTAAATCAATGCATTGTGTTCTGATTTCAGAAAGTTGATTTTTCTATTTACTTGTCTTAAATTATTTACAGTAAGGAGACAACTGAGCAGATCAGACAAAAAACCTTCATTTTTATATTTGCGTAATAGGTACCCTTTTTCCTAGAAAAAAGGAGCATGTTGTGACATTCATCGGCTTGAATATTCCCCTGTTTTTGCTCATAAAAATGACTATTTGCATATAACTGAGAAAAATATGCCTGTTTTAAGCTAACTTTCCTCATGAAATATTCCGAATACATTTACGATTTGTGGAGCTCTACTACAACATCTTTATAGAGCAAAGACTAATTTATTTATCATTTATGTTGGTGGTCAGCCATCGGCTGGCAGCTCACTTTATGGTGTGATTTAATCCCCTGTTCATTTCTCACTTTAAAAAGTTACTTGACAGTGCAGCACCACTAACCCTGCATCTATGCCACCCTGTTACTAGAGCACTCTGATGGGCATACAACTTGCTCTGGTTTGTCACCAAAATATCTGGGAAGTGAGGGGAAAAGAGCACTACAAGCAATCAGGAAAGCACTTCCAGGGACAGTTTGCAGGAGTCCAATAGGAGGGAAGCAATGTGGCTTGAACTCATTTAAAAAAAATTGTTTATGTAGTGACAAGCAATGGAACAAAGATGCTTTATAAGATTCCCTATTTTTTAATATTTAAGAAATTTTGTGCAAAGCTTTAGATTTCCACTACAATGCAACTGGTTTTTGGTGTTGATTCAATTCAGAACTAACAAAAATTTGTCTCGTGAGCAGTCTGAAGTACCTATCCAGTTAAGTTTTTCTTCTCTTGCTAAGTCACCTTCATTAACAAAGAGAAAAGCAATTTTCATCTTACCTGATTAAGATCATCTACTGTGGAAAGAAGAGGTGGCGATGGTAGTGTGCTATGTTCCTGCTCACCACTACTGTGTTTTCTGCAGAAAGCAACAGATTGACATACAGTTTGCTGTCATTTAAAAGCACATCTTTTCACCTACTGTTGTTACATATAATTCTTAAGATGACTGAAAGATGATTGTTTACCCTGTACATTTGACAGCTTTGTGTGTGTACTCATGTGCATCTTTCACCCAGCAACGGGAGAGAACATTAACAGTAAGGTTCCTGTTTCCTTAAAACAACAGTTGGTAGGTGGATTCTGGGATAGTAGTATCTAAACTTTAACTTTTAAAAAAATTAGTAGTTAAAAGGGCCACATCTTGAAATTAGTTGCCCACCTTTTTTCTGTCCAATTGTAAACAGGTATGTTCTGAGTACTCATACACTGAAGCCAGAGTAATAAAAATCCTTCAAAAGTATAGCGTAGCTCCCAAGCTCTGCACATGCTATCTGTTACAGCAAGTACAGAGTCTGGCTTGTATCTGGTGACAGAGAAGTGAACTGAAATGAGCTCAATTACTAAAAAGATTCAGTGTTAAAATTTGGAACCCATAACAGTAGCTCCTCTGTCAATAGCTGACTTGATCAGAAGCTCTTGAACACAATTTTGACACAGAATTAACAACTTCCACCCCTTGTTTTGTTTGGCTTAAGTAGGTACACCTCTACCCCGATATAATTCGGCTAGAACGTGGTAAAGCAGCGCTCCGGGGGACAGGGCTGCTTTACCTCGTTATATCCAAATTCGTGTTACCGCAAGCAGTTCCTCTGCACCCGCCTGTTACTTGCGCCCCCCCCCCCCATTCCAGCTCACCTCTGCTCTGCCTCCTCCCTCCCAGGCTTGTGGCACCAAACAGCTGATTTGCGTGGCAAGCCTGGGATGGAGGGGGAGAAGCAGAGCTGCGGCACGCTTTTGGGAGGAGGCGGAACGGAGGTGAGCTGGGGTAGGGGGGCCCC